GTATCAATATATTTGGTCGGTTGATGGAACAGCAGCAGAACAACAGGGATTCGATATATAGACTCGCTACAGAAAGCATCTCAGGTGATTTAACAACCTACTCAATGAATTAAGAAAGTTGCTGGCCATCTAGTGTCGTGTGATCTAATGGGTTCTTACGATCATCCTCCTGGAACCAGAAGTCTCTCTATAAGCCCCTACTAGAGCCGACATACACTCAGGTGACAACCACAGCCACGTAATCTCTCTCGCTTTTTTCCTCAAATCATACAATCCTATATTATACCACAGTCTACTTATCTATTTTGTACTTTATAATTTTACTTCGGCTGTCTGACAGATATTGCAATGACTGAAGTTATATAATTAATTGAGTTTTCTTTTTTCCTTTCTTTGATAAAAGGTTCAAAACTCTTGGAGGTCGGACATTATTTTGTATTTAATGTAATCAGTGGTGTATGAATGGAATAGTTATCGATTTTATTGACTAGCTCAGTATTTTTGCAGTGTACGCAATTGTTATTCGTATACACTTACCCTCTTGAAAGACCCTTCTGGAATGAAATGATTGGGAAATTGTGGCCTTTGTACAATACACGATTCTGAAATTAATAAATAGGTTAATATGTGAAAATGCTGCAAAACAATAATGTGAAGTCTTCTTAAAAAATCAAGGTATGTATAATACACATTATCACTATACATATCTAGGAGTCACAGTGTTGGTGGCCATACTCCTCGAAAACCGCTTGACCGATTTTTATGAAATTTTATATGTATATTCGGTATCTTTGAGAATAGGTTGTAATTTTGTAATCTATTTTTCCATACCCCTTAGTGGTAAGGGTGCTCCACCCCAAATATTTTTCAAATTCTCCAGACAAAATTTTTTGTGGCATTGAAAAATATATATAACCCTCAATTTTTACCCTTCTATCACGAACCCTAATTTTTTTAAAGCCATTTTAGTAATTCAATCATAGATCAGTTATTCCCGCTAGGCGTCTACTGGTGTCACTTCTAACTCAGTAAACAGCACGGAGTTAGGATGAGAACGAAGCCGGTCTTCTATCTCTCTCACACATTAAACCTTTTTTCACTTCCTACACAGTTTTCAGCCACTGTTATTGTTTATCCATCGAGCGGAGATACAGTTTGCGATGCCACTGAAGCTGTGTATTATCCAACCGAGTTTTTGAATTCATTGGATTTGCCAGGCATGCCACTGCATAATTTACACAAATCCACCACGGCTGTGCAACCGCACGTGATTTATCACTGAAAAGTCAATGAAAAACGTTTTCGAAGTCAGCATTTCCACTGGTAAGTTCCGAGTTGAAAATATATTGATTGCACGAATCCGTATTACACCTACATATGTGCCAATTTATCTTGAACGTGTGCAATTTCCAATCAGTATTTAGCAGAAATTTTGGTGACATTACCTGGAAAATTGATATAATTTGAAATATAGTGTTGGAATGTTCGAATGATTTGAGAAGAGAGAAAAGTGAAAAAAGGCAAATATATCAATCAATCAATCAATCAATCAAACATTTATTGAATCAGTGTTCATTTACAATCACATTAGGCAAACATCATCATAAAATACTGGCTGATACAACAGGTCAAACTATTATAGAAAAACAAATACAAAGCATAACTTAAATAAAAATAAAATCACTAAGCTACAATCAAATTATGATTATGACTCAAGGANCTTTGTTTGAGGAGGAAAATCTGTGGCAGTCAAGGCGGGTATATGGGGAACAGGAGTGTTACGATGTCTTATTAGAGGGGCCAAAGTTTTTAATGGTGTTTCGGCTGTAGATTTCAGGTGATCTATCGCCCGACTCATGTGAAAATTCTTCTGTGATTCGACTGAAAAAAATTGCGAGTTTCACTTTTTATTTTCGATTGAAATAAGTTGGTGTTGGGTAAGTGTACATTTTTATTGATTCTGATGAAATTTGATATGAATAAAGTACAACATGGAAAATTGAAGAACGAATTGATGGCAGAAAATATTTTTCATTAACGTTCTCTAGAAAGAAGATAATACATTTTGAATTGATTTAGCTCACTCAATTTATATGTTGTAAAAGTTTGTCGCGACATCTATCTACTTTAGGGAAAAATATATGATTTTTTTCTATAATTACTTACGTTGAGATTGAATGTGTGTGTGTGTTGAGATTGAATGATATTGTATTATTACTTATCTGCACAGATAAATCTTGCGACGAACTTTTATAACATATAAATTATGTAATATAATGAGTTCATATGTTTGATTCAATTCAAAACTTATTTCTTACTATTAAATCATTTTTCAGATATCGCTCGACATATTTCTCAGCATGTTCCTTGGATTGTCGTATTTTTCTAGCAAACGTTTTCATTTGATACACATATCATGAATGTGCATGAAAAACTAGGTCGCCATTTTGGATAGTCCGCCATATTGGATTTGGAGTGACGTCATGCTATTTTCCGTTTTCTATGTAAAAACAAGTCTGTTATGTTCGTAATAAGAAATATTTTTGACAGTTGTTATCACATTCTATATACGCTGAGTCAGGATTAGAAGTTTGCACTTCTCAATGGCTGATTCACCATCGGCACCAACAAAGTTCATGCCGTTTTTAGAAAAAAACTCAAGGGACTTTCCTTTCCTAGAACAAAGACGCTTGAGACTAAAGAAGCTTCCGTAGTGAGATAAAAAAAAGCTCTGAATGGATAGCCTTAGTAACGCTAGTTGCACACACACCGATTTTAGACGGCCAACTTTGTACCGGTCGTCCAAATTCCAATAGTAAACCACATGTGGGAACGGGACCTGGCACACACGCCGACCGGTGATCGTCGCCGGTAAAATACCAAAAATCCGGTGAGTGTGCAAGCACCCGCTACCAATAAAATGTCGGCCGATTTTATACTAGCCGTCCAAAATCGGTGTGTGTGCAACTAGCGTTACGCTAGTTGTATTATATAGTACGTATTGTCAGAGGAGATGACGACGATAATTCCGCCCAGCTTCTGTGGAAGAGCTGAAGCGTTATAACAGGACCGCAAAGGCCAAGAAATCTCTGGGGGTCGATTCAATAACCAATAAGTTGTTGAAGAGGCTTTCTGACAACTGCGTCGAAAATCTACTTCAGATCGTAAACAGTTCGTTGGCCCTCAGAAAGTGGAAACATGTGATCGTTGTCATGATCACAAAACAGGTAAGCTGGTTGAAAGAGTCGTTCTGCAACAAAGAAGTTGAGGACCGAAATGTTCTGCCTGACGAACAATTCGGCTTCAGGAGAGAACACTCCACTGAGCTAAAGGCACTGAGACTGGTCGAAAATACGGTCACAGAGCTAAATCATAATCGTAAAGTACATGTCGTTCTTTTGGACATTTCGACCGCGTATGGCACGAAGGTCTTCTGCATAAGCTAGTGTCGTTCGACCTGCTTTGGAGCTAATCCGGTGGATTGGGTCTTTCCTGAAAGACAGAACATTTCAGGTTAGGGTAGAGGGCTCTCTGTTTAACAACAGAAAGACCCTCGCTGGAGTGCCACAGGGGGCCGTGCTCTCTCCCAGACGATCTCTGGAAGGAAGATCGACTGGCAAGCGCGAGTATAGGCCGTAGGCTCACCTGGAACCCGCACATCACAACCGTGAAGACAAAGATCGAGGGTCGTTTCAAAAATCTGTACCCTCTGATATACCTACTTATCGTTATATTATGACCAAAAAATACACAAAACTAATGTGAATTGTACGAAGGCTATAAAAGCTGTATTTATATAGAGTTTCATCCAAATCCGTTCAGTCGTTAGGCGTGAAACGAAAGATATTTCAATCAGTAGACTTTCCCAAATTACTCTTTCAGCACGTATAATTATGATTTAATGAAAACATCGAAAGGTTCGTCAAAATTAAAATAGTCTCGACTTATCGTTGTACATCTATCTACATCTATGAAAATTGACCTTCGGGTCACAATGATCTCGTAACTTACATCTTCAAACTGATCACAGTTGACCAGATTAGCTCACTACTTTCAAAGCCAATCACAGACGAACAAATTCATATCTTTACAGTAGCGTTTCGATTATTTTCAATCGTGAGTAAGCCGTAGGAATTTATTACAAAAACTGTTCTCAAATATCAAACTTCATCATTGAATCGATATTTCGTTTTGGTTTAGTTTCCACCGAAAAACAAGAAAAAAACATGATCTCGAAAAGTAAAATGAGTGAACTTCACCAGAAATATCTGTGTCGAGGAATGTTACATTTTGAAAGTTCGTTACAGAATAACAAAATGAGAATAGTTTCACACTTGTTTCTATACATCTTTAGAGAACAGCGTTCGTGTGGAATAAACGTTCTGAGTTCAGTGATTCAAATCCAATTCGAATCGCTACTTTCATACAGGCACCGCTCTTGGAGCGCCATGAGGATTTTCTTGTAGTACGTGTGTTTTGTCCCTTAAAAAAACACGGGACTCAAAACCAAAATTTTGGGTTAAAATTCAACTAGACAAAACCAATTTTTCAATATATTCAACCATCTATTTCGAAATTTATTTGAATTGAATGAAATAACAATTATAAAAGGTATTTTTGAATGCTTTTCGGGTGTCTTTTCGTTATGACAACTTTCATTCTCGTAAATAATTACCACATTTCTCTCTCGTTGAATAATATACTGTTAATTCACAATGGAATTAGTATGAACCATTTGTTATCAGTTTTCTTGGATGTACATATCAGCAAGTCTAGCTGTGCCTTTGAATATTAGATGCGTAGTAGATCAGCCAGCTGAGTGAGGCGAGAACTCATTAACACCAAGAAACTCCAATAGTGAACATCGTATTAGTTCGGTAAGTAGAGTAATTATTCTGTTTGGTGAACTGTGAAAATGCTTTCGAACAGTAATCTGAAAAATAAGGTGCTCAGTTGAGAAAGTAAAGAAATTGGGAACGACGTATTGAGATTTACCTATGCAAGCGGAAGCACTGGCAGTATTGTATTTTAACTTCGAATGTTCAAGAACGAGTTGCTGAGGCCACAGGAGTTTTCATGCGAACAGTACAAAAAATCAAATCAGATATAAAAACGGGAACAACATCTTCAACACCAAATAAAAAGAAATGTATCAAAAGTTACGAAATTGTGATGGTTATTTGGCATTTTACGCAGATGCATCATAATCGACAAAATTCCAACGATACTACCAAAAAAGTCGATATGCAATCATCAAAGAGAAATATTTCATTTGGATAAAACATCCTGAAATCTGAATTAATATGACCTCTTGAACAACTAGAAGCCAAAATTCGTACGATAGGAAATAGATCAGCTCGTTTTAGCAGCAAATCACAACATTGTACGATTACCGCCGTATCACCAGGACTTGAATTCAATTATAGTCTATTTCAAAAGAGTGTAGAGTAATAAAATCAAATTCACCCCTTTGTGTGTTAGAGATTGGGATGGCGTTGAAATTCAAATTAACGTTTACTTTGTTAAACCAGTTATTCCGACTTTGCAGAAGATTGAATCATTTTTGAATCCGTTTCTGAATGAATTAACGTATTAGGTATGTGTTCTCATGTTTAAAATGATGAATCATGTTATAATTAATCTTTAGGCAACCAATCTTATATGAATTATATGATTATATTCATGTATGAAGTTGTATGCTATTATCAATATTGCAAGCATTGTTTTGTAGATTGTCTACCTGCTATGTTCCCTTTCCAATAACTAGGCATTCAATTATCTATCAATTATCGGTTAGTTCATCCATTTTCTCTTAATTCACTTATCTCTTATGAGAATGTAGGAATCTATTATTTGCAATTATATCTGATTATTTTTCATTTATTTTCCACCTGCATAAAAGGAAGAACTGGGGTTCCCGTTCCCTACTGGTATATGTGCAGTTGTCAACACTTGCCGAAATTATTTGAGCCAGAATTATTTTCCCGATTAAACAAACTGATACAAGTGGGTAGAACAGTCACCATCTCTCTTTATCGTTGGCGCGTCTCAGAGACGAAGCTATTTTTGCCAAGCAGTACGTTTGTCGATACTTACCAACACATGGATTGACCCAAAGTAGCCTCTGCCATCCGAGACATTCATACAACTGGGTCATATCCGTCCCTTTGCAGGCACACGTCGTCCTCAAATCCGTTCCGAGAATTCCCAAGATTGCTGATCGGCATTCTATTGGCGATCCGGCACATTTTTTTGTTACGCTATCAACTGCACACGATTGCTCATAATGTTCCAGTTTCATCCTGAAATCAAATGCCAATATGTTGTTGAGCTAAGGGAAAATATGTTCGAGAAGGAATCGGAAGATATATCACAAAATTTGTATTATCGACGTCGGAGAAAGGGCTCTTGAGGGTTACAAAGGGACTAGGAAAGATAGGGTATTTCTGCCGGTGACAGAACGGCAAATATTTATTTTTATATCAAGTGCGTAAAATGAGTGTTTTTAATTGTCACATGAGGATATTAGCTTTTGGCAGCATTTTTTGTACAACTGTAAATGTGAATTAACATCGTCTGAAATATATTGAAAAGACTTCCAATACATCTTGACGTAGTTTTTTGTCCTGATAAGTTATTGTTTCTAAACGATTGTAGTCTTGAAAATGTTTTCAGTAAAACCATGTTGAAAAATTTTTCCTGTCTAAAAAAATTAAGTCCAACATAACTAAATATTACTTCTATTTTCTATACATATTATCCTTAATGTTATTGATACTTCCAATACAAATTCATAGCATCCAGTGGTCTTTCTGTGTCGTTATTATAGAAACGGTTTGTTGGCACGCCGCGTCTTTCCTAGTAGTTGCTTCAATTCCAATTTATTTACAAAATGATGGATATTGATTGCGGATGTGATACCTACCCCATTAGATATATCTGAGAAAGAAAATGCAATAGTATCTATTATGTTACCAGCCAAATCCAAGTTAATATACATATGAGAAAACATATGACCAATTTCGTGAATGGTGCGACAAGAAACATGTGAAAGAGGTTTCTAAAAATGTGCTTGTATGTTATTTTGAGGAGAAATAAAAAATCATAAAACCTTCTACGTTATGGAGTGTATATTCATTGTTAAAAAGCACATTGAATGTAAGAAAACTATTGATGAAGGGAAGTTTTCAAAACTATCCCGCTCATTGAGAACAAAAGCGTCGGATACCAAGTGAAGAAATCTAATGTTTCATCAAGGGATGATATCGATAAATGTATTCAAGATGCTTGTTCCGCCTTCACCAGTTCTCTTTTATTTTATTTTTTATTTTCANTCAATGTTATATAATATTGAAAAAAAAATATCGAACAGAATTGGTGATTCATGAAATGATTATTTCTATCGTATTCCACGATTTTTGGTATATTGTGTATGATGTTATTGATAAAACAATTTTCTCCAGTTGTTACTTTGAAAATATATAATTATAAAAGGAATTTGTAATTTTGTCTATTGCCCTTTTTCAATATGGTATTTGTTAGAAAAGTTTTCATTACATCGGGTAGAAGTCTTTCCAAGACAAGATCCATATCGAAATTATAATGAGGCATTATAATTTCATGGAAAATAGACTGAAATATTTGTAGGTTATGATGATGTTATTGAATAAAGATATTGTAGACCTCATTGAAGTTTGAGGTGGTATATGAATTCTTAAGTAGGAAACAGAAATTATAGATTGATATGTTCTGCACCAGGTTTCATAAACTGAAATTGGAGGAAGAAACTTCAATGAATTCAATAGGGATCATGAAACAATCTGCACTGTATCATGAAAGTCGTTTACGCAATATGGCAGATGAGATCATTTTTGGAAGGTTCTTTCCTCTTAGAAGTTTTTTATATTCTAGTTTGTGAGAAATATGGCTTGCTGGTAAATATGAATTGATGATGTGCAGAAGATGGGTGACAGCTTTGGAGCATACATTATGACTTGTTTCCTTCCCGAATTGAATGAATTTATTTTGAAATGAATAGTATTTCGATCATTTCAAATTATAATACTTCATGAATTTGATTACCATATTATTCTCAGTATTCGATGAAAAATAAACAAATTTCCTCAGTCAGTTATTCAATATTTCGAAATAATAAAAGATTCTATAAATGCATAGGTATAAAATGGAAGAGAACTACAAACAAAGATTGATCAGAAATTTTCTTGATGGAAGTACTGCGAAGAAAAATTGTATATTTGTTAAATTTTTTAAATGACATATTTTGGAAGGAAAAATATCAATTCATTCCTACTTCAAATATTATTCTTCAGATGTTATTCTTCAATTCAACTACATAAGGAGTTCTTGATGCTGTACGATTATTAATTTTGATACATCAAGTGAATCCATACTCAAATGAAAAATTCAAATTTCTATAGTTCAATGGGAGTATTGTTCTATGCTTTGTTCCTATTTTATGATGGAACCGCTGAGTCTCCCTCGCAAGTTTGAAACTCACCGACAGTCTTTGTTCTCCCGACAAACTTCAGCCAGATGCAAGCAGGTGGGTTGGGGAGAGTCTTCAACTCTCTGAGCGCACACCGGGTGGAGTTTTTCCTGGGCAATCAAACAGGCGTCTTGTCTATTGTCTGTTTTTCTGCAACAAGAGGGCACATTGGAAATTCGATTGTCAGCCGAGGGTAAAATTAACAGTCAAAACTTCATCTTCGTTAGGCAGAAGTTTTTGGAAATACCATTTTATAGAAATGATCAAATCGAACCGAATTATAAAAAAAATGCGCAAATCTACTGAGAAATTAGTGTCGTCTTCATTGATATTCAAAAGTGACATAAAGAACACCTGTGTTGCTGCAGATCAAATCATTCTTTATGCAGATGATACGAATATTTTAATGTCCAGAACAAATAATGAACAACTAGTAAAGAATGGTAATAAGGCATCAAAGGAAATCAGTGACTATTGTAGTAAAAATGGACTAGCACTAAACACCGCTAAGACCTATCATATTCGATTCTTACCAAAAAATATGAATCCTGATAATGATCTCTACTTAACAGTCAATGGAAAATCGATAGNTTTTAGCTATATTAATACTCAGTAGTTTACTTTCAAATTATTGAATTATAGCTTTGAAATTCTCCACATCTAGCATAAAAAGATCGTTCAGATAGATATTGAAGAGAATTGGACCCAGAACTGTCCCTTGGGGTACATCATATTGTACTTTTTGAGATTCACTGAGAGTGTCTTTGATTTTCACACATTGGTTCCTTTTATGGAGATAACTATAGAGGAGTGGGTGGGATGTTCCTCTGAATTCAATACTCTCAAATACCTCTAGAAGTTGATCTGGGCTAACTGTATCAAATGCTTTCTTCAAGTCAGGTATTTTTCAATGCGTCATTTCAAGAAGGTTTCGAATATTTTCGCAAAGTTTGTAATTACGGATATTGGGCGATAGTTATCCACTTTGAGTTTATTTCCTGTCTTGAATATTGGTGAAATAACAGTACACTTGAATGGAGCTGGACATATTCCACTACTGAATGACCAGTTTATTACGTATGTCAATGGAATTGCTAGTTCTTTTGCTATCAGTTCAATAGTTTCAGCTCTAAGAGTGTCAATTCCGGGGGATTTTTTATTCTTCAAGTTCTGAATAACTTGCAAGACTTCACGTTCATCAGTATATTCTAGGTAAAAAGAATTCATAATTTTGGTTTTTGGTTTATTTTTTTTATAATTTGGTCTTTTTTGTATTTTATCCGCCAAGACTTTACCAATTCCGCTATAGTGTTAACAAATTTGTTAGCAATTTTTTTCTGGTCAGTAATCATAGAACCATNGAACGGAAGTAATATTTTTGAAGGAGCAATCATAGTATTTAATCCCATTTTCTGGGTTTTACCACCTTCAACGATCTGAGAAATATTGAAATTGTAATAAATTTTCTACAGGTGTAAAAAAGAAAACTTTTTCGTTCACCTCGATGAGTAACTGCGTAAATTCAAAGTATTTTTCAAGAAGAATAATGACCCTCCAGGATGACGCCTCATCCTGTGGTATGGATTCGTACCGAAATAATGTATGAGTCTGAGTCCACTCAGGGTCACTAACGGAACATTAGAGATACTGGGCACCCTGTCCCTGTATCCTGTATGTTAATGCAGGACTATACCGTGAAATACTTTATTTTTCTAGCTACTCCCTTATAGACCATGAAGTAATCAAAACCTCTAACCTAAGTCTACGGAGAGAATAGAAGTCAACTAAACGATCACAATTGTAGTTCCTGTAACGAAGGATCTCCGGCTTCTCCGCATAGCAACATGTAGGTTGGATGCCACAGTCATCCCTATAACATATCCTCAGTTCTCCAAATATTGAACAAACCCAGAAGGCTAGGTAGTGCAGTCAGGAAGTGACTGTATCACCTCTTCGAAAGAAAGGATATTTCATGAATCTTCCTTGCATTATTTTCCTGAAAAGCAGAAGCTGAAACTGCATCAGGAGAGGAAATAATCTTTCTCTAACCTGAAACATCCAATCAAGAGCAGGAGCATCTCAGTGACCCAACTTTTGAACAAATCTAGAGTGCTAGGTGGTGCAGCGTGTAAAGGATGTATCGCCTTCTTCAGAGCAAGATATTTCATGAATCTGCTTTGCACCAAATTCTTCTGCAGTGAAAGCAGAATCTGCTAAGACAAAATGCTAAGACAAAGTATATATAAAATATTCATATAAGAAGAATTTTGAAAGAGGGATGAAAAATTAAGTATATAACACAAAAAGCTACAAATCATGCAATGTAACAGAAATGACACAAACATTATAGTATTATAAAGAGTGATTGTGGATATATGATACCAAGCCGTATAGAGATTCGAAATGAATATCGCAATTCATTGAAGCTACTGGACATAAAACTCAATGGTGATGGTAGCATGATATTTGTGCGTGATGCTTCGCAATAGAACTTCAGATTGTGTCGACCTCCGCTTCTTGGTACTAAGAAATTGATCTCGGGTAAAGGAACCGTACTGTCAGTATTATTGTTTAGTAATTTATGCAGGAGTTTTATACCTAGGATAACTCTTCTATTTTCCAAATATTTCATATCAAGTCGTGTCAACAGAATGTTATGATCAATGCCTCTTCTGGGTTATTGTCTGGGGTAGACATTAGTATTTTAGGAACTTCGTCTGCACGCTTTTGGTTGATGTTTTTTGGTAGTCGTAAACTGGATTTCATAATATAGAGTCATACTCTCCAGATTTTGAATTGAGTTTACGGAGGAGATGCTGGTTTATCAAACGACCCCAAGAATCTTCTTTATAATATCGGTTTGAAAGAGAAAGTTCCACAATTCTCCAATACTTGAACTAACTTAGGAGGTCCTCTAGATTATGGAAAATGTAACATGATTTATAATGATGGAGACGATTATTCTTCTCTAGGAAATTTAGGCCCTGGTAGCAAAGCACGTTCTCTGTACCTGTCCCGCCGCGATTCATATCAGGTTTCATATCAGTATTCCACTATTGCCAATTGATCTTAAAGATCACTCACCGGATAAATAAATCAGCTTCGTAAAGGAACTGGATTTATTTGGTTGAGTTGGGTTTGAGACACAATAAACTCTCGCGGGTTAGAATGGAGCTTCGAATAGACCCACTCACTTCAGATCCACCCATTGCGAAGTGGAAAAAAGCTACTCACAAGAGGTAACGTCATTGAAATACTGTCACTGCAGTTGTGAAGTGGCAGGGTGGTGAAGGGGGCTCGGGCGCATGTGTATCAAATCGACGTGAAAAACAGAAAATTATATATCTCCAAAAGAGTTTGCCCCCAAAAATCATCTGCTCCCTGATCATACAATAGGAAGACTCTAGACTTTGAGAGAATGGTACTTGATGGAGCGCGTAAATTCGTCAAGAGTTCCGATTTCCTCCTCTAAATGATCTGCGACAACAACAGCGCAGGATCTAAATTATTTTTTTTTCACTGCAGCGACACGAGTAACTGTTTTCAACAGCAACTCTATCACCAAATTGTAAGCCGTTCAACGAAAGACCCAAAATGAGTTCGCAGAGAAAATAAAGATAATGATGGAAATAATGAATAAAACGAATAGTCATCTCAGTTGACAGAATACTCGAACCGATGAATGAGCAAAAAGGGTGAAAGGGAGGAGTACCTAGATGTAAAGAGATGCACATCGGTATATGTGTAACGCAAGGTTCGATATGGTATAAGCGTAATTTTTCAAATCTCAAGATCATACTGGCTGCTCCAAAGCATGAATCTTAATCGCATACAGCAGAAGGTTGTCATTTTGGCTCATTGCGTCCGTTTGGGGCACATGATTTTCAGACCCAATGTTCACTTATCTCACGTTGACGAAATTGCTCATTGGTTGATGATATATGGAGACTATATGGACAATATGGACTATAGGAGATTGAACACTTCCATATTGATAGTTATTGTGATTCTTATATAATTAGCTATGAGTATTATTGAATAACGAAATTAGTTAGCTCCCCAACTATATTATTAAAGGGGAGCTGTTGGAAGGTAAGTTGCAGTATATCGTTTACTTGACCTATACCAAAAAATATTTCCGGGGGCACAGAATGCTGGAGTTTTTTGATTCCAAAAATAACCATTTCATCATTCAGACTTTTCTCTTCTCAACACTGAATTTTTCCAAGCTTCAATGTACCCTTGTCAAGTTATTTATTTAAAAAATAATTAGGGAGTGATACAGCCTCTGAATAAAATGAAAATATTGAGCTGTTCATTCCAAAAGCCAAATTTTGTTTGGTAAACTGACCGCGGAGTATTCATTTTCATACACCATTTTTCAATTTAAATTCGATTTTAATTTTTTTTCATTTGAGTTTATGCGCTTTTTTATTATAAAACACTCTATATGTTAAATTGTTTTCGCATTCTACATGAAACTATCTATTTGAGGATATCAAAATTCTCTATGTGATTCTCAAACAGGTCTACGATTTTATTGGTGGCTTTCAAGTTATTTTTACAAAATTGAAAAAATACCTGTTCCGTATTTCGAATTTGAAATGAAAGAAAATGCAATAATCAGACTTGAACGTCTTACACACTGTTCAATACAGTTTCTGGTACGACTGGACTGTACGAGTTTTCTGAGGTGTTTTACCAAACTAAAGTCAGCTATGACTGTGAATATTGCAAAAAAAAGGAAATAATGAATTGTAACTGCATAAATGAATATCTGTTTTCTAGCATTTTCTGTTTACTTCAAATAGTACCTTTATTAAAAGGAAAGATTGGAAAGAAAAGAAAAGAAACCATTACAGTAACGAGTAAAAATATTAATACTCGCATAATAATGCCTACTTTCATGGTAATTGAAAATATCAGTCGTTTCGAAAATATACAAAGGAACTTAAGGTTCGATAAATATAACCACTTAACAAGATTCTATCTTTATGCACTAAACAAACCATCAATCATATTCAGATTGATCGATGGTGATTTTAATATTTTCTTTAGACACTGGTGTTTCTATGATAGATTTGATAGAAATAATGAGTTACTGTAATGAATTTGATGCTACTATTGGTCGGAATTGAAATCTGTTCGTC